AAAGTCTTGCGATGGTTGTAAGGTGTGTGCCCAGCCTTAGAGTGAAATCATCAGTGATATAAATATGTATACAGAGCTCTAAGAGGAAAAGGTCTCTCTAAAATGTAGGTTGTTCCATGCAGTGTGCCCTCTGGCTTCCTCAGGGTGCCTTGAAATTTTCACACAAAGTCATGCCTCTGATATAAAGAAGGCTTGTGGTGTTAAAGAGGGGGACTCTGATGTGAAGGGAGGCATCTGACGTGAAAGGGGGGCTGTAATCTTAAGTGATAAATATTTTTCTTTGTCACACTCCTTACCGATAAAGTCCCTTGTAGTGGGGGGTGCTCGCAGTAACTGCGGATGGCGCCGCAAATATCAACAATTGTGTAGAGATGTCACCAGCACTCCAAAATCCTTCTTAGGATAACAAAATGTTCATTTATTGAAGTTCCTTGTCATATAAACAAGCACTGACCAAATCTTAAGTGGACTCTGATGTGAAGGGGGAATTCTATTTTGTTGTGCTTTTGCTTGAGGGTCCCAACTTCTTAAAACCCATAACAGACCCATTTCTCGTATAAGAGTTTGGTATGGATGTTGGAGGGACCCCATGTTGTTTATTACATTTATGGTTTTTACACTTTAGACTGGGGTGCCTAGAGAATTTGCATACTTTTAGAGGGTGCCATGACTGAAATAAGGTTGAGAAAAGCTGCTCTAAGGCCCCTTTCATGAGGGTGCCGTCTGTGATCTGTGCATGGATCCCCTGCTGATCAGGGAAAAATGGAACAGATGTCAGTCTTGGTGACATCCTTGTCCATTCAGTTGTTTCCTTCATCTTGCGAACTATATGGAACCATGTTGGGTCTATGGGGAGTCAGAAGTAAATGGACATGTGTCTGTTTACATTAGATTGCTTCCAATTCGTCAATCTGTTCCGATTTTTTGTTTCTGGACCTAGATGGAGTTGGAGGTAATCAGATGAAAACGGATGCACATCCATTTAGATCTAGCTACCCATAGACTAACAGACTTCCAATCGGATCCTCCTGAAAGAATGACAGAGGGACCTGATTGGACAGCCGGTGTGAACGTCGCCTTAGCAGTGCACCAAATTCCAACATGCTAACTTTTCTCAGGGACAGGACCTCTTCAGTAGAAAGCCCTAACTCTGTTACAGCACTGTCCACCTAAAGACTCATCAATATCTCTGCTCCACTCCAATATATGTTTAGCAAGCAGTCATCACATTTCTCCCTCAGGTTCCCCAGTAGGGAGAACACAAAAATGTACATCACATGAATAAAGTTACTCACTTTGCACATGCAAGAAATACTATAAAAACCAAACAAAGTGTGTCATTACATTATCTACTTTCAAGATTAATTAAGCATAAGTCATTATTAGCCAAGCTGTACAGCTAACCTTTTTGATCTTAAATGATGTTACTTTATTACTAATCAAAAGGGCAATCACAATTATGTTATTGCTGCTGATTGCCATACATTTGTGTTCCTGCTATCTGTTGTTGTATGTAATGTGAATATCATGTAACTGAAGTAATTAATGTACCATTAACATGTATACGGTTGGTGGTTATGTTTTTAAAGCTGAACTTAAGGCAAACATAAAAAAACATCTCTGATTCCAGCTATGTAGTATTTAACAATCATTACATGTGTTTAAAATGAAGCTAGTATATGAACCAGAATCTTGCTTCATATTAGCTTTCTCTAATTCCCCACACAGCAGGTCTTAGACAGGGAGGGCCAGCACTGTAAGATGAATTGCAAAGTGTGGTCAATCTAATAATAGGAGCTTGCTGACAGGAGTAAACAGAACAATGTGGTGATGCTTTTTCAATGGCCAGTCAGCAGGTTGGGACAGGTAAAGCTTTATTGGCTAAAGGTGGCCATACACTCTACAACCATCGCAAGACTTTAGTCTTGCGATGGTTGTAAAGGGATTAAAAAAACGTACGATCTGCCTATCTTGGACAGGCAGATCGCACTCTCGATCATCGCAAGCCCGCCCTCCTGAGGGGCGGGCTTCCGATGACCGCAATGCTGAACGGGCAGTGTGCGCGTGCGCACACCGGCCCGTTCAGCATTTGTCTTCCGAGCACCGTTCTAACCAGCCGAGAATCGTACGATTCCCGGCTGGTTTTCAAACATGCTGGTTCGACAGAAGACGTGCGACCGTACAGTAGAAACGGTCGCACGTCTCCGTTCACACTGCTCGATTATCGTACGAAAAACCGATCGCATACGATTATCGTACGATAATCGTGCAGTGTATGGGCACCTTTACTGCACTGGGCAGGGTGACTAAATCATGAGACTGGCTACACAGATTCACAAATCTTTTGACAGGTAAGACAATTCCCACAGATTTAATACAACTGTATTATTTGCTGCTCTATCTGGAGTTCTGTTTTAGGTATCACTTCTCAGTTTTCTTCTTTTTTTTTTTTAAAGAACATATGCTTGGTGAATTTTGGAGATTGCTTGACTCCCTTACTGTTTTCTCTTATGTAACACATTATTGTATGTACAATATTATAATTGAGTTTATATGGGGCACATTAACCTTCTATTCTTTGACATTTGCAGTAAAGAAGAACTCTGGGGAAAAAATTGTTAACTCTTACAGTGGGGCTACCTCCACATTGCAAGGGTTAATTGCTGGTTTTCGTCTAGGTTCAAAAGTATTAAAGTTATACACACCCGGTTTTCGGAGCTGGCCGGCTTCTGCCATCTTCACCTCTGCTCTAGTGGTGGTATATCCCTCGGCATCCTCACGTCCAATACACAGTGTAATGGATGTGATGACTCACGGGTCCTTAGACTGCAGTGGAGGGGGGAGAGGCTGGAAGGACCAGTCTAATAGCAAAATTAAAGAAACTGTAAACCTCCCACAGCTCTGCTCTTTGCGCAGGCTATGTACAGCACAGTGATGAAATCACTGCAATTTTACCAAGGTAATATTTGGGTTTGCAAATGCGTTTGTGCTCACAAAGGGGATCCTTTATGGGTATTGAGAAATATATTTAAATGATAGTTTTTGTGTCCAGTTCAGCTTCACTTCCAGCCAATATTGAATAACAGTATTAAATATAGAAGGGCGAGAACCTCTGTCAGATTTGTATTGCCCATGTTTGGGAGATTTCCATCACTTCTTGTCCACCAGACCCATCAATCAAACTATGACACAGAGCATTTCATCAGGACTACTATAAAAACCTAGGTTCCGACTCAGGGGTGGGCCATGGGCAACTCCGTCCCTTTCAGCTGTTGTGGAACTACAAGTCCCATGAGGCTTTGTAAGACTGACAGTTACAGGAATGACTCTCAGAGGCAGAGGCATCTTGGGATTTGTACTTAAAGCACAGCTGGAGTGCCGGATTTGCCCACCCCTGTTCTAACATTTCTCCACTTTGCTTTGTTGTTTATCTCCTTATTTGAGAGATTGCCATCCCATACTGTCCATGTGACATCCTGTTAATGTGACAACCATGTTATATGTAGACACACAGGGTGTCACCAGTACAGAATGTGAGGGTAATCTCTCTTATTGGGGACACAGATATTGGTAAAAAATGGGTTGTTTTTGTATTTGTTGTAAAATTAATAGATGGGTCCTTTTTCAACCACTTTTTTGTGGCTTGTGTCTAACGGGCAACATATTTCTATTTGAAGGTTTGAAATGGTTTTGGACTATTCAAGTAAATGTATCTCATACAGATAAGTGCACATTAATATAGGGGAATTCCCAATCTTGTTTACATTTTTTTTAGTAAGCGTGGTAAAAATTGGGCCTTTCCCCACTCTGCTAAAAAAGAAAGCACCTCTACTGTCATTTAGCCTGCGATGGTGAGATTTCTCCCTCACATTTGTCCCAGTGACAAGTGACAGGAACACAGCAAGTTAGGGTGTTACCAATAGGGTTGCCACCTTTTCTTCCAGCAAAACCCGGACACTCTAGTGTCGCACAGAAATGTTTTGGGAGAATGAGTTGAGGCTTATTCATATGTAAATAGCGCCACCCATTAATATGTAAATATCACAGTCAAGACTATTTTCAAGGGGGGAGAGTGGGGGGGCAGTAGCCCCTATCTTAATTTTGGTTGCCTCTGTCTGCCTGACCTCTTTTGTCCGGGTTTCAGCTGCCATGAAACCGAGACAAAGTATTCAAAACTCGGACTGTCCAGGTGAATGAGGGGGCTTACACATAAAGTATATGAGAACTGCTCTTCCACTTTCGGGTAAGCATTAAGGTGGACCTAGCATCAGATGTATTTTTATGTTAAGAACATGCAAGCTATGTAAGGTGTTAGTGTGACAGTTGCAGGTATGTATTCCCTCTCGCAGAGATTACAGTAACGCAGTAACGCCAATGAGAATGCTTTCACCTGTTTTTCTCTGCAGTAGGATCAGGATGGAGCCAGAATTGTTCACGCATCATCCAGAGGCAGCATACACACCTTGGACTGGGATGTAGATCCATAGATCAAACAGTCATGTAAATTCTGAGGCCCGTGCAGTTATTGGCTCTGTTCATAATGTCTGGCACAAATCAGCCCCTTGCTGCAGCCTCTCGCCTTGTAATTGTTGCAATGTTGCAGTTTGATCACTGGGGATAGGACACTGAAGAAATGCTTCCTCCTGCCTGCAGCAGACTGACATCATCAAAGCCTAGGCAATGTTTTTTTGCCTGGAACCCAAGGACAGATTTTGAATGATAAAAAGTACAGCTATTTGGAAATTATGCAGTTGCTATATATAGTGAAATGTTAGTAATTTATTCATGCAATCTTGCATGAATGCAGGTCTACTATAATTGGATGTCTTCTGTTGATTTGGGGTTCTCCTTTAACATGTGTACCTTCAGTCAGACCTTCTACATATATTTGCAGAACTGATTTTCGGCATCGGTCAGCAACTATATAGTCTTCATGTAATAAAAAATCTGTCACATTCCACATTTCTTTATATATGCCTGTTTTTTTATAATTGGCATAGGTTTTAGCGACCCATATTGCATGCTGGGAATCATGATTGTGCAAAGCGCAAAAGAAACCGAGGAAAAGAAAGAGAGGAAATTTAGCTTCAGAAAGAAGAAAGACAAAATGGAGAAACGTTCAAGTATAAGGGAAGTGCTGCCAGCAAAGTACATCCAGGTCACCGAGGTCAAGAGCAATACCTTGAATCCAATTTGGAATGAAAACTTCCTTTTGTAAGTGGAGTGACATTCTGCACCTAAAACTTTTTCTGTTTCATGTAACGTGTACATTGAATATGCCATGTTCCCCCAGAGAACCGCTTCCTAAAATAGTATACTGTGAACAAGACCCTCAGACATATTTTTGGCTCAGTGTCAAAAGCAAGTACTTGCTGTATGGTATAAAACATGACAGCACTATATAATGCTGAGTGATTTTAAAGCCCAAGTCTGGGAGGGAGAAAAAAAAAACCCCTTGAGGAGTGTGTGTGTGTGTGTGTGTGTGTGTGTGCCCCCCCCCAGGGGCTGTATTACTTACCTTAACCCCTGTTCCAGCAGGCTCTGCTCTTCTTCCTGATATGGGGTATGATTCCTCCCTCAGCATCATCATGTACAATGCAAGGCTATTAGCCCTTTGTTGTATGTGGAGGAGCAAGGGTTTGACTGTGGCCAAGAGTGGTTTAGAGAGGAGGCTACGGTGGAGTGGTTGCACAGTTGGGGGCAGCCTGCCGGAGCAAGGAATGAAGTTTTACTGCTTATCCCTCCACCCCTAGACGTAACCAGCATTTAACTCTTGAATGGAGAGGAAAAAATTACAAAAAACTATGGTACCCAAAATTACCCATAAGCAACGATTTAAATGCTTTTACAACTCACCAATGTAGAGTTAACAGTGAGTGATGGCCTGAAAATTATTGCTCTCACTCCAACGTCCGTGGCGATATCTAACAAGTGTGGCACAATTGTCGTTTTCGTACATAGGCCACCTGATGCATGCTTGTATATGGGAGTGGGGGGCTTTAATTTTTTTCTACTTCATTGCTATCACAAAGGGGACTAACAAGCCCCCTATGGGATAACATAGAGGAAGTGACAGGTCCTCTTTATGGAGACATCAGGGGCCTATTAGACCACTAATGTCACCTATGGACCCCACTGAAACTGATAAAGCACAGGGCGTGCTTCACCAGCTTCTTCTTTGGCCACAGCAGGTGGAAAAATGACAGCCTGCAACTGGAAGTGACAAAATCCTAGTCACTTCTGGGTTCAGTAAATGGAGATAGCGACTACCATAATAAGTGGAAGCGTGCTGATCTCCCTCCAGCCAAGTCGCCAACACCCTTCTTGCCGGTCCCGGGCCCACACGAGGGACAATGGAGCCGAGGATAGCCGGGAGGTGGTGAGACAGCAGCCTTTTTAGGATCATTCAGGTGATTGGGTGGCTCTACAGCCACCTGAATGCTCGCATGTAAAAGCCAGTTAATGGCTGCAGCAGCTGTGATGTTGTTTTTAACTACTTTAGGACCGTGACGTTTCTATATGTATTGCTGTCCTGAAGTGGTTAAAGATGAGATTCCTTTTATTTTTAGATTTATCTATATTCATCTTAATTCTTTTGAAACCTACAAAACCCTGGTCAATATGGGACTTTCATGCTATCATATACCTAAAAGTGTTTTCCCACCCACAGTGATCAGTGTGTTTTTGGTAGATACTTGATAATTGAAGTATTTATTTCTGTGTGCAAGTACAGAAAAATACCTGCTGATCCTGCCAGAACTGCATTGTTCTTGTAACTTCTTGTGCACTGAACTGGAATCTAAGGTTATCAGCCTTCCCAATTTTGTTCTGTGAACTATTGAACACCTCCCCCATTTGTTTTTATTTGTTATCCTCCGTAGATACAGAACAGAGAGTGAGCGTTGTCACTCTAGGGCAGGAAGAGTGTTACTGGCAGAATCACCAGGTGAAAATAAAAATCAGAAAAAAACTTTCAGAAGTACAGGAACAGAGCTGGGAAATTATAGAAGATCTCTCTATCACAGTATCCAAGGCATTTAAAGGGGAATTATATATTATATTATAAATAATAAAGGCCCATAGCTGCTGGCACCCAGAGTTTTTGCTAGCACGCAGAGCATATTTGCACATTATGGCAGACTTACCTGCCAAAGCGCCCTACAGTGATGGCAGCAGTATCCCTTATTTTTTCCGAGTCTGGCGTCTTCAGCCATCTTGATTGACCAGCACGGGGGTGATGTAACTGTTACCAACAACAGGCAGGGCAGGGGATTGTATATGGACTGCACATACACAACAGTGTACATTAACAATATTGCTGGAAGGCAGGTAAGCCTTTTTTTTGGAGAAGAGATAACAGAGTCTGTTTTGCAATGAAAACCTGCCTGCCAGCAATGTTTTCTAAACTTGAATTCCCTTCCAGTTTAACAAGCGTTGTTCAAATTTGCAGCCCACCATGCTGCACCTCTAAAAATCCATATAAATATCACTTATTTTGGCAGGCTGACTTTTTTTGAATGTCTCCCACTTTTGTTTTACTTGTCAGTGTGTAACTTGAGCCAGGGTTGCCATGGAGATTGGCATTTTAGAGAGCTCTGAACAGCTGCTGGGAAACCAGCTTTGATTTGGTGAACTGTAACAGAGAAACGGTTAATAAAATACAATATTGGGGAGTGACTTTGGCAGGGTTTGAATATACAGTTTGTTGGATAGATGAGGTCACTTGGGACAGAGCTGATTAGGATGGTTCTAAGCCATGCCAGATGGATCACTGGTGTTTAAATCATCTTGTATCTCTTGATAACCTAATATACTTTACAGCAGATACATTGCAATATGCTTATTTTAGCACTTTGCACATTATTTGAAAAGAATGTTGTGGCAAGAATTCCCTGGTGATAGAGAAACAAGTATGGTATAATGGTCCAGCACTTCTTCCTGTTACCAAACTAGTTATTAACAAAAGAAGGACAATATAGCGAATAAATTCTTATCCTCTATTAACTGATAAAGAGGAACTTCACCATCTCCTTCCACAAGTGTGTTTTTTCCCCTCATACTTTTCCACTGATGTTAGGCACAACATACTCACCCTCCCAGCAAGACCAGCACAATGATCCACCTCACTGCTGCCTGGACCCATGTTTAAATCCTTGTTTCTGATGTCATCATCAAGAGCCGGCTGTCTGTTCCCGCTGCATTCAGCAGGTCTTTGATGATTCAATTTCACCCACCACCCTTTGTCCACTCTTTGTAACGTGAAGCATCCTGGGATATGTGACTTACATATTTCCGGAGGTTTCGGAGCACAGGAGATGTAATTCTTGCCTAGACGAGAATGGCAGCCAAGGGGCGGGCGGGCTGATCTGAGAAAAAAAAGGTAAAAAAATTGCAAAAGAGGTTTTTTTGGTTTGGTTTTTTGATGTCTTAAAGTTTAGAGGAAGGGAGGAATGCAATCACACCTAATGCATCTAGTAAGTGAAGGTCCACTTTAAAAATGAACACTTGTCAAAGGGACCTGACTTTTCTTGATAGCTTACTGTTGAAAACAAATAAAAAAAAAAAATCACTAAACCTTCACTGTGGGTGGGTTTGACTCACTAAATTTCCAGTGAAGCAGTTCCATACTAAATGTATTGTGCCTTTTAAGCCCTCGTTCACACCTGAACGTTTTGTAGCGCGTTCTACGCACGCTCTACAAAACGCTCAAAAATTTAAATCCCATTGTATTCAATGGTCTCGTTCCCACCTTGGCGTATTTCCGCCCGTCCCTAACGCGCTACAAATGGCCCAAGCCTGAAAAGGTACATGTACTACTTTGGGCCGTTTTGTTGCGCGTTTCCATTGGGCTACAGCCAAGTAGCCTTCGGAAACGCGCGACAGACGCGCATATGCAATACGCCTAGGTGTGAACGAGACCTTAGTTTTTCATGATTCGGCATGCAGATCCGTGCAAAATGACAACTACCATAGGTTTAGAAGCATGATTATATGCACTGTCCATGGTGCTGATGCTTAAAAACACTGTGGGGATAGCTTTTTGTTCTATTTGTAAATTATATTTCACTTTTCTTAAAACAGTATAGTGGTTTGTTTGTTTTTTAAAAGCCCTCCAGAGGTTTTTGCCATAATGTGGTTGTATAGACAGCATATTAGATATTCGCATATTATGGATGTCTTATGTTATAGGCAATCTACTCCAGTACTGTGCTGTCTGCTCTCCCCTTCTCCGGCACTTCCATTTTCACCTGGTCTTCTTCCGTGTTCAGCATCCCCTTGATAGGCCAGGCCCGTGCACAGGAGTTACTTTAATTTTCAGCACAAAACCTTGCTGAGCTGCGCATGTGCGCAGAAAGAATATGCTGACCGGCAGGTAGGACACAGTCTTTTCTGTCATAATAAAAACCTGCCTGTAAGCAACTTTTAACAAGACTTCCACTTTACTGACGTAGCACACAAACCCCAGGCATGCTGGCTGGTATCCCAATAAGGGACGAGCATGCAACACCATGTCTTCTTCCCAATCACAAAGTTCTAGTGCTGTATGGAAAAAATTACCATGAGAAAATGTACTGTCACTGACTTTTGTTTCCTCTATATTGATCAATTATTGCTGTTTTTCTTGTACTTTTCTTTTATTCAGTTGTTTACAGAAAACAAAAACAAAAAAGTGTTCTTTATTAACTTTGCTAGTATTATCTATATTTTTTTTATTTTATAGTGAGATTGATGATATTTATACTGACCAGCTTCACCTGGATATTTGGTATGTATAATTCTCTATCTCTCTCTTTCTCACAGACCTTTACAGTAATCCTCTTCCACAGTCACAGACTCCAGTAAAGGGCATCAAATCTTCAATGATTTATATCTATTTTTTTTTAAAGTTACACTTTAAATTGGGATTCACATTTAGTTTGCACTTTTAGTATTTGATGTTTTCATATTCTATTAAATCAAGCTTGTGATATTTTTGAATGCATTGTGGTTCGTAGATACCCCAGGGGCTATAAATCCCTCTACATTTCCTGTATGCCCATCTCCTCCTGTTACTGGATTGCAAAGGAGAAGCAGCACAATAATGAGTGCATTCCTGTGCATTCTGTATGCAGGTTCACCGTATGCCATAGAACTATGACTGGCTCAGTTTGGTGATCCTTCTTCTATTGTAAGTTCTGATGGAGTTGCCCGGGCCTTATATCAAGACAGATTCAGATATGTTCTATGTAATGCTTGCATTAAATTACTTTTACTGCAAGCATAGCTGGATTAAGCTCTGTTTTTCATAGTTTCATAGTTACATGAAAAATTGAAATTACACATGAGGTTGAAAAAAGACACATGTCCATCGAGTTCAACCTGCATAGATATGGAGAGAAACAAAAAAAACAAAAAGAGAAGAAAAGCCTAAACAGAACGCTATGCCCATAATTACCCCCTGTTGATCCAGAGGAAGGCAAAAAAAACCCTATAAAGCTTGGTTCAATTTGCTCCAACAGGGGGGAAAATTCCTTCCTGATCCCATAAGTCAATCGGAACAGCAGCCCTATTTATAAAAAGTGTGCTAAAGGAAAATGTCTTGGCTTCCATTTCTAATGTTCATAGTCTAATTTAGAAAATAAATCATGGCTGTAATCATGTTTGATTGCAATAAGCAACAAGAAATGTATGCTTTAGCACACTTTTCATACTTTACACAGTAAGTGGCATGTATCTGTTCTCTTAATGCATATTTTATTTCAGGGATCATGATGACGATGTGTCTGTGGCAGAGGCTTGCAAAAAGCTGAATGAAGTTAGTGGTTTTAAAGGTATGGGCAGGTAAGATATTCAATTCACTTACCTAACATATTGTGTGGTAACTAATTCTCATATTTAGTTAAACATTACCAGTAAAATAGTCACATTTTCTGATGTATGCGGTAAAAAATAATATATCGGCTAAACAGTCACCTACTGTTCTGTGCCTACAGATGAATCTGTTCTGTGCCTGCAGATGAAGCTTGCCATATCTGGAGAAATATCCATAGCACTGCATACAAAAACAGGTGTATAACCTTATGCCCCCATTTGATAATTAATTGGTGTTCTTATAATCTAAAACACTATGGCTTGCATTCAGCACACTCAAAACGTATTTATTAAAGTATATCTCTAGCTCAAACTTTATTTACCTTTAGATAGAAGGAGGTGTAATAAAAACACCTGCTAGGATTTTTTTTGTTTTGCTGCCCTAGAGATTTTCCTTGACTTCCTGTCCTGGATGCACATTGGGCATTAAGAGAAAATCTATCACAAATCAGGGTAAATCCTTTCTCAGATGTCAGCAGAATGGGTGTTTCTTTTGATGATTTCCTCTTTCCTTCAGTTTCAGTAACAGACAAACAATCTTGGATTTTCCATCATTTAGTGTCGTGGTGACAGTGTCACTAGGGCAAATAGGTTAAATCTCCTCTCGGCGTTACAGACAGCAATGAAAACTCTCCTTAGCAGATAGTTAATTAAATGTTATTGTTTACAGGCTTTTACTGTGACAAAATGACCGCTTACAGTGACAGTTTTACAGAAGAAATTGATTTTAAAAAGGTGCTTGATATATATAATGCACACGCATTTAATTCATGCAGCAATGCCTTTAATGAACCAAAAATAAATGTTAGATTGTTTAAAAAAACAATTAGCTTAGTCTAATGTGTTAAATTCTCGTACAAATAGTAAGATTTGTACAGTTGAATTCCTGGCTATACCTACCTTCTGCCATCACATGGGATTTCACTCTTGCCTGTGGCTTTTTATTTTCACATTCCAGAGAACCTCCCTACTTCCTTATTACAGGTTTCCTCTAACACAAACCTGTGCAACAAAGCAACAGGTTTGCTTTAATCCTCTCGCCCCAAGCACAAACTACACTTTCCTTTACTCTCCTGCCATTCTATACAGTACCAGGAGCTATAGGAAATGCCCAGTACATCCAGGTATAGAGTAGCATGTTACAGGGCAAATTAACACGGTGCTTGATGTTCCTGTGTTAGCTACAGTTCCAACAACTCGTATCTTACATTGGATTTTTCTTTGTTCCTGGACAGTCTGAATGGAGCAGCAGGGTGGGGGTTGAATGGAAGGCTTCTGAGGGGGCTACTATAAAGTAAACCTGTTTTACTCTGTTAAGTAAAGCACAGGATCACTTTAAGGAAAATGCAATAATGGGAGAAGGGGGAAACCTGCTTAGCTTTGTAACAGATATAGTATTATTATTATTATTATACAGGATTTATATACCGCCAACAGTTTGCGCAGCGCTTTACAATATACGGAAGACATTACAGTTACAATACAATTCAATACAAGATGGTAAGGATGGTCCTGCCCTTGAGGGCTTATTTATCAGATTCCAGCAAACCTATACAGATTTACAACCCCAGCACTGTGTGAAAATAGAAGGGTCCAATGTTCAGATAAGATTGTACATAAAGTCTAGCTGGACAGTCTCAGAGATAGGCTTCTTTATCTACAAGCCCAATGAGATCATTTTTCAGGCCCCTTGTCATTAGACATAGGGAAAATCTTATCTCAAGTGTTGCCTTGTAGGTGTGACATGAGACAATGATCAAATTTCTCCTCATGGCCTGTAGCAAAACGAGTTAGATGAGGGCTTACAATCTAAAAGTATGTATGCACTTGTTTTTAGGGTAGTGTTGGATTGTAGATTTCATCTAGTTTGGGGTGGGCTATGACCACCTTGAGAGTCTCAATGAAGACCTGCCCTCCTGTTTCTAAGCCATGCCTCTATCCTTCAAGCATTAAATGCCAGAGCCTCAGCTGTCCACTAAGGTCTGGTATTTGACTGTTAAATGGCATGGGTAAGGGTTTAGCATCATTAGGGGTGGGGTTCAACATTGCTTAATAAAGCGATCACCTAAAGAAAATGTTTCCTGAATGTAATGTGGAGGCATGTCATTCTAATTCTGCAAGTTCTAGTTTCCTCACACATGCTGACATTCTTCCATTACCATATTTGGGTTGATTTACTAATGGTAAATAGGCTGTTCACTATGCAAGATTTTCCATTGGCTTAGTGAATATGATGACACTTCACTTTGGAAAGAAAACCCAGTCATGCAAAGAAAATAACAAAACTGTAGTTTTGCTTGCACATAATTAGATGATGGAAGTCAGCAGAGCTTTACCTTATTCACTGAGCTAAGGGAAAATTAACTTGAAAAGTTATCACTGGACAGAACAAGAATGCACATAAGGACTTCTGACTACTCTCACTTTCTTCTTGCATATTCTTTATTCTGGGCCAGTGTCTCAAATAAAATGAAGCTGGGGGAAGCAACACAGGCAAGCAACTAGCTTCAGAATTAGGTCAGCAATGGAAGTCCTCATATTTCTCTTGGGAAATATTTAGTTTAATGATTAGGTGGCATGTCTTCCAAAAATAATGTTGCTTCTTTTGTGTGCAATTTAAATGTGATACAACTGCTACCAGAAATTACTGCTTTTGTTCTTGCCTTCAGCCAGTTGTAGAAAAATCCAAATCACTCTTGTACATTATAATCCAAGTGTATTTAACCTCTTGCCGTCCGCCCGTAGTAAAAAAACGGACGGACGGCACTGCTGCATTTGCGGGTTGCCGTCTCCAGACGGCAATTTTTTTCTGCTCGAGCGCGCCCCCTAGCGGGCACGCACGGGCAGAAAAGACCCGACCATTAAACACACCCGTTACCGGGTGTTTCACATATAGGCGATCAGCGAGTCCATAGCCCGCCAATCGCCTATATGTGCTCGTTCGCGTCCGCCCCGCCCCCCCGACCCCTCACCTTGAATCCCGGGATCCGCTGCCCCATCTTGAATCCCGGGACCGGCTCGGAGGGCGTCATGAGGAGGAGGACGGGAGATCAGCTCCTTGCTGATCTCCGTCCGGGCTGTGAATGCAGAAGTGATGTGTATTACATCACTTCCGCATTCACCTGTCAGTCATCTGGCTGCTATAGCCAGAGAGAAGAAGCTGATAAAGCAGATCTCTGCTTCATCAGCTTCTTTTGGGGTCCACAGATGACATTAGGGGTCCTAGAGACTAACTGATGAGCGGTAACAGCTTTTAAAGCGTCGCCTATGGCCAATTTTGGGTATTATCGTTTTGTGAGGTTTCGCGCGCGCACGCAATTTTAAGGCTTGACATGTTTGGTGTCTTTTTACCCGACGTGACCCCGTCTTTTATATTTTACCAAAAAATTGGGTAATAATAAATGTTTTATCATTTAATATAGGGGAAACTGTTTGTTTTTTTTTTAAATTCGGTAATTTTTCCTTAATATAGTAAAAAAATAAAAACCCCAGTGGTGAATAAATACCACCAAAAGAAAGCTCTATCTGTCCCCAAAAAAGGGTATAAAATTCATTTCAGTACAGCGCTGCATGACGGAATAAATGTCAGTCAAAGTACCGCAGCGCTGAATACTGAAAAATGGCCTGGATGGGAAGGGGGTTTAACACCGTGGATGTCAACTGGTTAATACATGGCACCTTAAAAGCAAAGAGGAAAGTGCTAATTTTTTTAAACATTTTGGGTTATATTTATACCATTTTGCTCATCTACGCAAAGATGCTGATTAACATATAACGTGCCATTCATTAATACCAGCCAAACCCAGTTATGCAACCTTGTGGACCTTTAAACATCTATGAATTTCCAGAAGACACTCTTATCTCTTACCTATAGCAAGCTGGCTGGGTATGGGACAACCTAGAGTTTCCCATGCCAAATATCATAAATAAATGGCACTTTAAACACATTCACTCATATCTAATGCTTAACACTCTATCGAGAGGAACTGAGGGGAGCAAGATCATAACCACTGTCAGACCTAACACCTGACTAAAGCCATGTTCACATTCCTTAACATGCCTAAAATAAATGTGAAGAAATGTGTAAATATGAAATGTTAGTTTGGTGACACTGAGTTGACACTGGTTAATTCTTGCAAAATGTTCTGGTTTTATACAAATGCACAAATACCAAGCTAATGCTTCAATTAGAAGACACACCAAATTATGTCGTTAATAAATGTTCCAACTTTCTTTTTATGTATGAGATTTTACAGACAATGTCGGCAAGGTGTTCATGGTAGCTCTAGCAATTAGTGGAAAAGCAATTAAAGGAAATATTGCAGTTTCAGTCTAACCTAGCCATTTTGCAGTCTGTTCCTTTTTGGACCTGTGTGTGACTTGTAATTTCGCATCCTTTAGGTCAGACTGAGAAACACATTCTTGGAGAAAAAAAAGATCAAATGGCTTTCTATGACATTAATTAGCTTATCAATTGTTCTGCGGGTTTTAGAGTCATGCAACCATCTTAGATTAGTGCGGTGACATTGCCCAGGATGGGTTTTGCAAACATAAAGAATGTTTGCTTATGCCCAAATTCTGTAAATATTTAGTATGTCTATCTAAACAGCAGAATATAGACTCCAGTAATCGGAAAACATTGGTGCATGGCATTTTGAAGTTGCCTGTATGAGTATGGTGCAACCACACTGTGACACTTCTGACAGCCATAACCTTACTGGACCATCTTTCTGTACCACCCTGCATGTTGTTATGAATTGTGCACTATGCACTAACAGCCACCATATTTATAGATACTAAACGTGCCATTGTATGTAAGACTTTAATAATGGCCAATATATGCAAGGAATTAATGTTATAATGATGTCAGGGAATTTGCCTAAAGGGGTTCTAAACCCTCCAGTTTTGCTTATATCTACTGCTAGCATGCAGTAGATATAGGCAAGAAGTGTAAAAAAAAAAAGGTTTAAAATCATTTTAAACTTACCTCGTTATCGCCGCTCGCTCCCGCGCTGAGAATCAAGAACTGCTCGTACGGCCGCAAAGAATCTTGGGGCGGGCGCATGCGCAGTTCCGATTCTCGGCCGGGAAACGAGCAGAGACGCAAGGTAAGTCTATGGACGCGTGCACCCGCCAGCAGACACCGCTGGATCGGAGAGACAGAGCAGTCAGCGCTGGATCGGAGTGACGTCACACCGCTGGAGGGACAGATGAAAACATGGGGAAAGAAGAGGAAGATTGGAAAAAGAGACATCATTTAAGGTAAGTGCTAACATTTACATGGGGGGGAGGGAAAAAATGTTTTGCCTTTAATGTCACTTTAATAGATACTTTGAAATATCCTTCTTCTGTTGGTTGCCTGCCAAACCTGACGGGTCATTTTTTGTATTTTCTGTATTGTGTATGTGTATGTGGGTGCATTGGTCAATGAAGACTGGTGTGCAAAAGGATCAACCTAAAATTATACTCCGGGTAGTGTCATTACAAGAAATAATTCTTCCAGTGGCTGCTATGTCTTAGAGTAGCTGCCTGTGCTAATGCAGCCCATGGTTAGTAACCTTGACTGCACATGGGAAGAGCAGTGACTTTAGTATCTAGTAGACATGTCCTAAGACTGATAGGCTGCAGGAATGATACTGGATAGTGGTGAATCTACAATATGTGCTGCGGATACATTTCCTTTATTGTCTGAGTGACTGAATTTAAAGTGTAGGAAATCTGAAAAAAAGTCAACAAAAAAAACTGACTGAGATTCCAACCTTTCCCCACTCTATCCAAAAAAGTTTTGTCTGGGGTATGACTTGAAGAAATGGACTGTGTTATTTTTAGTCAATGTTTTTGACTTGACAGTAGAACCAGTCATGTAGGTCATTGGGGAATGAAAATACCCTACACCGGGCACTGAGATGGTTTTTCAGCCTGTCCTGTTGTAATGCAGTGTGTCTGCCAGGTGTGAATGGTATGATGTGAACAAGGAAGCTGAGCCCCAATATGTAGCACTAACCTGGCCTGCTGGAACCATTGGCAGCAGCATACATAGGACAAAAATATCTGTAAATAGATATCTTGGTGAACCACTCTACTAAGCTTGCATTGCTGGTTCTGGTCACAGATCAAATCCAAATTGGGGTGATGTAAATTAAGGCTAGTGCTATATGTATAATAATGAGACAAAAGCATATAAGGATCTGTATCAGCAGTTGTGGGAGAATGAACCCCTTAAAACTGCCAATTTGCACTTAGGTAGAGTTAAAATAGATGTTAAAAAAATAACAATTACCGGTATATGTTTAGCAATAATCCAGACTGAAATGGACAATGGACTTTTTCCTGCTGCATGAATTTCTGGTGTATAGATAACCTGATTGTTTTCTCTGCTGGATTGTATGATTTAAATTAGATTTGAAAGTCATAATAGCCTAGCAATGACTTCCTGAATAACTCTGGGATTTAGGGACAAACAAAACCTAATCATCAAACAAATAGGATGCAGTGTCAAAGCAGACAGTCTTGTCACCAGTGCCAAGACTTAAGAATGCAGCAGAAAGAGGTCACATCCCTGGAACTAAGCAAGCCTCAGCACTACAAGCAACATGGGAAATATGAGCATTGTGCCACTTAAACTCAAAAACAAGTAGTCTTAAAGGTAAATTACATACAAAACACAGATTTCATATAGAAAACTCATACATACAGTATAGACATTATTTAAAGCAAACCTTCCATTATACTGTGCCTCACCAACCAAACTACATTTAAAAAAAACAGGCTAGATCTAGAGATGATCACATCCTCACCTTTTCCATAGCACCATAGCATTGCTACAGGCATCCTGGGTGCCTGTAGAACCTAGGTGTCCACAATCTGAAAATTATGACTTTTACTAAATGTAATTGTTGTGGCTCATCACAGAATGCTATGTTACCCGTTGCTCTGCTTGAATTTATTGAGTTGAAACTTACTGGCTACATTTCCAAAGGTCTGATATATATATCAGAGAGAGAGGTTCACTCTCGAAAGCTTGTCTTGTATATATTTTGTTAGTCCAATTCATGTTTTGTTTTTTTTGTGGGGAAGTTTTTGACTGTATAAAAGTAAAGTTATAAGGTGCTGGAAAGAGAAAGAGGCTTGAAGTGTAAAGAAAGAACTGTATTCGATGTGAAATGAAGAATGCATAGCTACGGGGGAATAGAAAAGATGAAGGAAGGAACAGTTGTAAATCAGTTGTAGTACATCAGTGGTTATTAAGAGGCGTAAGAGTTAGTGTAGCCACCTTCCAGGTAGTGGCTTTGAAACAGGGGTCCCAGTGGCCACAGCTGAAATTCCTGTACTGGGGGTCCCAAGCTGTAACCAAGAAAGGAAGAGGGGGCAGCATGTAGATGCAAGACATAAGGAACCCCCACATTTTGCAGTGAAACCAATACACTTGCAGCTATGCCACTGCTTCCAGGAGATACAAATCTATTTAATTTCCACTAAGCAAGTTTACCTGAGCAGATTTAGAATTAATTCAGAAGGTCAGAAGCTCTTATATGTAGGCCAGGTTGTGTTTTAGGTTTGTTGAATTACCTTATAGTATTAAAATAAATTGATGGTTTGTACGTATTTACTGAAGCCATTAACTTGGAACTGTAGAGGTTCAGATCCATTGTGTGCCTTAGCTTCTCCAATGTGTAATAAAGGGATTAGAGCAAAAGCTTACCCTATTGAGATCTTTACTTAGGTACTTCAAGCAGATAGTGAAATCAGCGAGAGCAAACGGAACAGCTAGCTCTGCAGAGGACAATGCGGATGACTTTTTAGGATGCCTTAACATCGCCATTAATGTAAGTAAACAGGAAAGAATGCATTACCGCTGCTTGAGAGCTGCTCGTAATATAAGTAGCATGACTCAATATCAGAAATTTATATTTGTGTGTACGCTTGAGTAGAATTTTAAAACTATTTCTACAACAGACCATTACTGCTTTATAGATTATAAAGACATATTGGAGTTTACGTGGGCAGCAAAAGTTTTACATTGATAGGGGTTAGTTTCAAACTGTTGAAAGTTTTTACTGCCTGTGAGGATAAAAAAAAATGTATACTTACTGTATATTTATTTAAATTATTTTTCTTTCCATGAAGGAGATTCCTGTTGGAGGACTGGACAAATGGTTCAAACTAGAACCACGAACAAGTTCTTCAAAAGTTCAAGGCGATTGTCATCTTGTTATAAAACTAATCACAAACCAGGTACAATCATTGCACCAGCTTAAAAGCAGAAATATTTAATATGTTAATCTTTTAAAGACTATGCTTGTCTTTTAAATGAAAAGGCATCATTACTTTGTACAAATTATCTTTATTTATATAGTCTGGGCTAAAAAAAAATCACTGTAAAATATATTTGTTCTATTTTAGCCAGTAAATATGAAACATTGCATATTATTCAGCCTTCTGTCCTTCCAGCTGGTAATACTATAGTCTTTGTTTTACATGGTATGTATTGTGTCATTCTAAGCAATGCTGAAAAAGTCCATTGTTTAAATAAATAAATTAACAGCTTAAAAACTTAAAATAAAAAATGATGCACAAAACCATCATTAGGTTAATTTCACAAAGATCCTAAATATAGAAGAGGGAAATATAATATTGATGGAAGATGAAAACTGATGTCACAAAAACACTAAGTGGTTGGTAAAGTCCACCCAATTTACTTATAACACTGTCTTAAAGCTACCCAAACACAGAGTGATCTAACTTATACGTAAAAACAAATCATCAGGCAGTTATATGATGCCCCCTGTCTACCATAATTTGCAAGCACCATTTAATGCATCTTAGGCACTCTCCCTTTACTGCCTAATCTTTGAGGCATTGTCACTTCCGTATCATAGAGATAAGAAGCTAAACAGCTGAAACTGTCCGTCCATGTCCCTTGCAAGATACACTATATTGCCAAAAGTATTTGGGACGCCCGCCTGCCTTACCTGCCTTTACATGAAATATAATAGCAACCCAGTCTTAGTCCGTAGGGTTCAATTTTGAGTTGGCCCACCCTTTGCAGCTATGACAGCTTCAACTCTTCTGGGAAGGCGTCCACAAGGTTTAGGAGTGTGTCTATGGGAATGTTTGACCTTTCATCCAGAAGTGCATTTGTGAGGCCAGGTACTGATGTTGGACGAGAAGGCCGGGCTCGCAAACTCCGCTCTAATTCATCCCCAAGGTGTTCTTTCGGGTTGAGGTCAGGACTCTGTGCAGTCCAGTCATGTTCCTCCACCCCAAGCTCACTCATCCATGTCTTTATGGACCTTTCTTTGTGCACTGGTGCGCATTCATGTTGGGACAGCAAGGGGCCATCCCAAAACTGTTCCCACAAAGTTGGAAGCATGACATTGTCCATGTCTTGGTATGCTGATGCCTAAGAGTTTTCTTCACTGGAACTAAGGGGCCAAGCCCAACCCCTGAATAACAACCCCACACCATAATCCCCTTTTCACCAAATGTTACACTTGGCACAATGCAGTCAGGCAAGTACCGTTCTCATGGCAACCGCCAAACCCAGACACATCCATCGGATTGCCAGACAGAGAAGCGTGATTCGTCACTCCAGAGAACACTTCTCTACAGTTCAGTGGCGGCGTGCTTTACACCACAGCATCTGATGCTTTGCATTGCACTTGGGGATGTAAGGCTTGGATACAGCTGCTCAGCCATGGAAATCATTCCATGAAGCTCTCTACACACTATTGTTGTGCCAATCTGAAGGCCACACGAAGTTTGGAGGTCTGTAGCTATTGACTCTACAGAAAGTTGGCAACTTCTGCGCACTGTGCACTTCAGCATGCGCTGACCCCGCTCTGCCATTTTATGTGGCCTACCACTTTGTGGCTGAGTTGCTGTTTTTTCCCAGTTGCTTTCACTTTGTTATAATACTACAAACAGTAGACCGTGGAATATTTAGTAGCAAGGAAATTTCACGGAACACCTAAGTCCAATGATTTGGAAGGGTGTCCCAATACTTTTGGCAATATAGTGTATGTTGAGGCTTTTTTCCAAAAAAGGCAAGCAGGAGGCAATGGACTTAGTCACCAGTATTGCTGATAGACTCCCTGCAGATTATCTATTCCCCATTAGGTACAGATTCCTCTCCACAAAAGACAGATAAAGGCATGTGAAATAAAAAAATATTAAACTAAGTGGTCTATTCACGAAGCTGCCGAAGGATCTGGCCGTAGCTTGGGCCGATCCTTGGGCTAGCTTCGGCCCCAGGACCCCTTCGGTTCAGTAGAACCGAGGGGGTGCTGTAGGCGCTATTCACAATAGCCCGTACAGCTCCCGATCATTGCCGAGCGGCTCG